CAACAACCGGATTGCTAACTTTATTGGTTGTTCGAAAGTACGAGAATACATAACATCGAAGTGTACGATAATGTAACGATTATAAAATACATAACATTGGTTCATTCATGTTTGTAAGGCAAGCCAGGGGAGATAAGTCAATCGAAAAAGGGGCAAAAATTCGCTATCACAGCGCATGGCAAAAAAAAGGCAAAGTATCGCTATCACGACGCATATGGCACGACACCGGTTCGACTTCGGGCGATATGCTACAATCGCGGCGATCAGCCTCCTTCGATGTGGTTTTTACTTAAGTATAATTTTTAAAATATTTCAAAACCACATTTCCTTGCACGCATAACCGCGAAAACGAACACCAGTAAACTTGGGGCGAACCGACTTTGGGGCGAACTGGTCTGGGGCGAATGTGCATTGGGGCGAACTGACTGACCACCCCTTTCATCATTTCAGCAAATGTTAGTTCATGCGCTGGCATACCAAACATTGTACCAGATAATTTCTAAGCCAGACCTAAAATTAATGGGTCACATTTATTTGAATGATGTTGTCAAATCATGAAATTGGGCATTCCACACGTACCGATTCGTGTGGGATAACCATCTATGTGTAAACTTAAAGCCCTCTGCCGCCAATCTATCAATATTAGGTGTACGTATAGTGTCTTTTCCAAAACAAACAACGTCACCAATATGCGTTTTTGGATTTAGGATGGTTTATGGCAAATTTTACTCGATAGAATCCTGAAATCGAATTTAGAATACGTCTAGAATACATACAAATTGTCTTCAGTGATTACAACAATGTGTATTATGTTCGATTTGTTAATAATTGTTGGCCAAACTAATTGATTTTATCATTTTCCATGGTTATCACAATAATCAGTGGGATGTGTTCCAAATATAGTACAAAATATTGCTTGGTATAGCAGGAACAACACAGTTTTTCTCACTCATGCATGCAGCGGAAACCTTGGATGGAGCTTGTTTTCGGACAAATCCAGCAAACCTCAGGGTAATTGAAATATGTATTTTAGTCACCTTTGAGCAAAGATTGCCTGTGGATTGGTTTTGTGTATCATTAGCACACGGTCCTGGGCTTTGTAGGATCAGAGTTGTAAATGACTGGTGTATGATTTCCGGTTACCTCGTTGGGTGTTTTCATGTTTCAGCTATTGTGCATATAACATTCAATATAAATATTCACATAAGTATACATGTTACTACATACCTTACGTATATTGACGAACAAAATAATAAAACACAGCAGCCACTCTGCACACAGCTGATTGGGAACCAGAATGTTAATTCCACTGAACCTTAACATATTGAGCACAAAGATTACGTGTCACTCGACGTTACTGTGCTAATCTGGCATATGACATCAGATTGGCTAGTATATCAAGCACATGTAAGACTACACTCTGGCAGCTGGTAAGAAACACACTATCAGAAGGCTCTGGGAGAAGCAATACATTGACAAACACAAGGACATATCAACTCATGACGAAGCCTTTAGTTCGAGCAAATCTTGCAACGATCCACAGTCAAACCATGCAATGAATGCGTTTAAACTGTTATTCCTGTACGGCAACTTAGGTACCACAACCGTCAACAAAACACTGAATAAATTTGGGATAATTGGAAACCAATTAAACAGTTATGATATATATGTACTGGGAATAGTACATATATTTTAAACTGATGCAGAGGTATTTGTAGCTTCAACAATGTTTTTGAGACATAAAATAGATATGTTTCAAAATCAAGTATAAGTACAGGCAAATTACGAACATCTAAACACGCAACACACGAGATTCGTACATGCCATTGTAAGGGTATGCGCACCTTATACACTTTCCATAACATTTTAACAGTTTAAGTATTCACATAGAACATAACTCGTAATGCAAGATATCTTGTTGGGCAGATAATGTTACCTGTCGACTAATTAAATTCTATTCAAACTTCAAACGGCGAAATAGCATTTTTTAGATCTATCATAACGTTTGCGCAAGTGCAGAAGCCCAGTATGACATCTTTGACTCCTGAAAAGTCAATATGCAAATATGTCGACCGCCAAATGCGCGAATCTGATTGGCTGATAGGGCTATGAGGTATACTAAAATATAATACCGGTATTACATTACATGAAATGAAAACGTAATTTAATCTCTTGTTCAGCTTCAACAGCCAACCGAATCTAAATACTAAATACGACATAAGTCAAATACGGAGTGAAGACGACAGAATCTTGTCTCACTCACATATGCTACAATGAATATGCGATTAAAATGCATTTACGTGTAACGAGATATTTATAGAATAGATGGTTGCAATAATGTCAACGAACTGCAGTATTCTGTAATGATTGTTCTGTTTTGAAAGTTCATATGTTAAAAAATAAAATTATGTCAGACATGTATGTTCTGCAATAAATCACAAATTTGCTACATCTATTTATCACTGACAAACAGTGCACAAGTGTAAAACTAACGTCCAGCAAACAATTAAATGCAATGAATATACCTAACATTGTTGTGTCTAAGCATCACAAAATAATCATACTGGTTTGTCGCATTATATATTAAACTAATTGTACGTTTATACGTTTCAAAATGACAAAGAACCAGATATATCTACTCCATTTCCAAACATTGTTTGGGTATATATTAATTAATAAATTATATAGTTTAGAGGGCGGATACTACCTGGATACTACACGCCAATGTAGGCGTGTCTGCTTAGAAAATGTAACTGCATGGTGGGGTATTGTTTGAGATTATGTTAATTCAATAATTATTGTCGTCTGTGTGATATTCAGAGAATATATTTCACGAATAAATGTGCATGGTAAGTGTCGAGAAACGTTTCCTTCTCAAAACACTCCTACAAAACGTATGTCATACATGTATGAATCCTCTGAGCATGCCCAGACAATATAACTATAATTTTACTGGCGCAACACCATATCAAAGTTATACAACAGTATAGTCACTAACTACAACTATGAACAACATTGAAAATGGAATATACAAATTCATATAAGGTAAGTGTCACGCATGTATAATGCTGTATCATTTGTACAAGCAGGTCGTCTGCCACGAACGAACATCTACTGACCGAGACTTCCAGTGTAGATCCATTGCCGTATCCACTGTACTCACTCATGTCGAATGTCAGGTCTGGGACCGCCTGATCCAAAACAATACAATCGCCGTGTAATTTACTCGCCGATTATAATTAATATTTTCATATGGAAACATCAAGCCTCTGAAAGCTAGATACAAATATATTGTACAGTGTGGCCAATGGGTTTCATGTTACGCCTACTTGCATTTGCGTGAACGTTTCATGTGGCGTCATCAACAGACTATTCTAAAAGAAAATCAAAACAACGGATTCCAGTAACAATAGTATATTGCACGTGTAGCCTGTATGCACGGCCAGTATTAATGTCTAAGTGAGAGCAGCCTACACACAGACTAGTGAATTTTGCTTGGGATGAAGAAAGGGGAAGGGATTGGATTGAAACAAGCACTTGGCGAGCCAGTGAGAACAAAAGATTACTAAAGAAGAAAGTCATGGAGCGAATAAAACACTGAGAAAAATGACAAGGACAGACAAGCTGGCATATATGAAAGACTTAACAAAACACGCAGAAGAGGACTGGTATATAAAATCACCAACCTTGTCAGTGACAAATACAGCATAGCCACCGACACACCAATCACAAAAAAGCAAGGACGACTACTGACTACAGATGGATATAACATTTCAATGAAGTGCAGACAGATCACAACCAACAAGAGATGCAGATATACAAAAATCTACAGCTCCAGATAAAGAACACATCATGACGTCTATCAGATTCCCGCAAGAATGGATAAGCACCAAGTCAGGACAGCATCAGCCCAGAACTGTTCTAAATGGATCCAATGTTTGCTGCACAAGTTCTCAGTCACTACCTAGAACCATATTGAACAAAAAACAAATACCAGAAGACTTGAAAGAAGAAGTTAGTGTGATAATCAAAAGAAATGAGCAGTAAACTGTAACAACTGGAGAGGAATAAGCCTACTGTCAATTCCAAATAAGATCCTGGCAAAGATCATCATGAAGATTATATCAGGAGCAGTAGACCAAAAACTCAGGAAAGAACTCAGAAAAAGGGTGTATAGACCAGATCTTCATCTTACGGAATATCAAGCAGTGCACGTAGATTGGCCAAATGACCAAGCCAAGAGCAAACTAGTGAACTCAGGAATGTGTGTGTAAAGTAACATGTCTTTTATATGTTATAAATCACGTGATCCAAATTGATACATCACGTGACTGAAACACCTTTTATGATAGGACAGTGATTCAATACACCTGCATAGGTCTCCCAAAAATACATTGATAAAAAATATAAAAGTGATTTTAACACCTCCACATCGTGGCGAAATACTTTACTTTACGATAGCAATGTGAAGATACGCTTGATATTGTTTCAATACAAGCGTCACCCATGAGAATTCCGACAACGCCCATGATGAGTGTCCGTACAGCGATATGACAAATATTTCGTTCTGGATTGAACGAATTCAATTATCCACGTCTAACGTCATAGAACTTAAAGCTTCTGGTTAGTTAATAAAGTTAGTCATTTATTGTATAATCTAATGATTTGACATCCTTGAAATGGCTTCACTTTTCTAATGCTAATTACGTGTATTTGAATCGAAGAAACCAAACATTTTATTCCGGGGTCAGGGCGTAAAACGCGTTATTGAATTTATTAAGGTAATCGAACTGAATGATTTGACCATAACAGTGTTAATCGACAGGGACTTGGAGTTAGAACATATCCGAATATGCAAATGAGTGATATGCAAATCATCTTTGTGCAGTTCAGAAGAGAAATATAGTCAGAAACTGAACTGAAAGTGATTAACTAATTAAAAGTTCATGGTCGAAAGTTCATGTCATGCAATCCCGCTGCTTAAAAATCAATTCTATCCCAATCCTCACAGTCTTCATCTATACACGAACAGAATGGGAAGCTGCAACATGGCTGTAACCATGGATACAGCGGTAACACGTTGAACAATTTAAACTGCTCTGTTACAGGTTCAATTGTATCTTCATGCTGTACAACTGCATGGTGTACTTTTGATATGATTTCCTTTATTTCGTTCTTGGTGGAATCTAGAGGATGGCGTTCACTTGGATCATGGGTTAGGTCATAGACCAGCGGTGGATCGTGATGATCTACGTGTTCACCATGGCAACGACATAGCCATGTATTGAAACATCCTTCTGTACCTGGTGTCAATTTCGGCGACGTAAATACCACTTTATATGATACATTACCTAGAAATAGATCAGATGATTAGATATTAAAATGTAGGTTTCTTTTATCTTTTCCCATTTATTTTTATTTTCAAGGTGAGTAATATGTAATGGTAAGTATGAAGATCAGTACGAAATGCAATGTTGCATACTTTTCGAATTTAATGTTTTCGTGGGATCCACCTGACAGTATATCAATCGGACTTTAGTGTATATACACGACCCTAATGATTACTACTTCTCATTTGTAAAATACAAATTAAAACGAACTAATTTCTAATCAAAGTAAAATACATTTTCAGATTGACAATGATACGAGAGGGGTTGTAAATTTTAGGGAAAAAACAACGTTTTGTTATATTGAGTAAGGGGTAACACAATGAACTCACGATGGTACATGTAAAACCTTGAGTTGAGCTCTGGCAGGATCAACGCTCCCTGCAGTATTCGTGATTGTCGTGTGACGTACAACATATTTAACATTTAATATTATATATTACTATTTCAAATCACAGTAAAATTACCAGTTTTGGGACGATGTGTAACACCGTGTATCCATGCTCCACAATAAATGAAAAGAAACTCATGTGGTGGCGCTTTGTCTTTGCCCGCTAAAAGTTTTGTGATATCAACTCCATCTATTGTTACATCACGTGGTATTTTCACTCCTGCCAACGATGCTAATGTCGGTGTTACGTCCATACTACTAGTTGGAACAGATATCTCAGATCCTTGTGGTATCAATGGTGGATATCGTGCTATGGTTGGTACACGAACACCGCCTTCCCATACCTGGGCTTTGCCTCCTGCGATAACATGAAATACGTTTCTGGCGGTAAGTGAGACAGTTTTGGGCTGTAATGTTGTCTTAGTTTGAGTATTAGTTACGTATATAGGCAACTCAAAGCATTCACTGCCATGTCATCTAGGTACACACATGCATCTCCTTGCTACACACAACCTCCAAAATAACTAACTGATCCAACCTACACTGTTCTGTAAACATGCAGTAGTTGGGTATATGTTCGCGTATATTTAAATAAAAAATATTCACGATACACAATACTGCTCACAAACTTCTAAATGATGAGTGGCTTAGCCACATTAAAATCGCCTTCCATCAACCCTTCAACATAAAATTATACATTTAACAGCATTTCTCTGCAAAATGTTTTAGTTCGTGTGTATTTGAAGACTAAATTTTTGCAGCTAGTAAAATAGGCAATTTAACAACGTGCCCAAAGACAGACAGAGAGACAACAATTTATCATTTTGCTATGTTTTTGAAGTAACTCGTTTAATGTGATATTTTCTACTTTTACATATTCATGAACATATCACCTTGACCTTACATGCATAATTATGTTCCTAGGTGGAAAGCCTCATGTATCCTGTTTACAGGGGCGTGCACTGATAATGGTATTACTGTAACACGGTCCCTTTGACTCTTTAAAATTGGCTCAACCTTATTTTACGCTGGTATTACTCACCTTTATATATGCCATTCCATCCTCCTTCTCGTTCACCTTCTCGCCCTGGTTCGATGGAAATTTCCTCAACATGACCGCCATGATCAGACATGAAATATACGAATGTATTTTTCGTCAGTTGAAGTTGATCTAACTTTGCAAGTACTCTACCAACACTCCAGTCCATTTCTTCTACATTGTCTCCATACTGTCCGTGTTTACTTACTCCAGTAAAGTTCTTGGATGTAAACAATGCAGTATGTACTTTCAGAAATGATAGGTACAATAGAAATGGACCTTCCTTATTTTCTTCAATGAATGATGTAGCATATTTCGTCAGGCGGAGAGTCATGTTTTGTAATCTGAAGGGCTGTTCAACAGTTTCATAGTTTTTGAGAAACACGCATACATATCGACGACTAAAGTGCGGAATGTTGTATGTCAGATATGCGATAATGGTCGCGAAAATTAGCATCAGCTTGAAAACCCCTGGTCCAATTTTGCCAAAATATCTTAGTAGACCAATGATGGTATATAGAGTAACATTCAATGTCGTCATATGCAAATAAAAATTATCCCATATTTTAATTAAGCTGATTCTACCATTTGGTATGTCTGCACATTCGTTCATATGTGTCAGTGGTGTACCATAGAAAAAGTCAAACCCTTGGTTCAGTGGATGAAATTCAAAATTACGACCAAAGCTAAAGCTGTGTAGTCCTAGATGCCATTTACCTGTGAGGATCAATCAGATGATACAATTGAAACACAAAATACACAATATAGCATGATGATGATGATGATGATCATGATGATGAAGAAGAAAAAATATTAAATATAAATACATATATTAATACACGCTATGTAATGGGTTCACAATCCTAAAACACAATACAATGTATCTTGGGTAGAATATTGTCATGTAAACTGTCATGAAGCGAACAATGCTGTGACCAAGCAGCAACAAATCGGTGAAAAGGTATGGTTAAAAAGCAATTACCACAAACAGTTCCTGGGACTTGCTGTCTCATCCCGTAATACTGAATGCATAATTTGAATAGCTAATGTCCCCAAACTATATATTGAAACAAGTCATGTACCTTTTGGACAAAGCCAATGCAACAGTATCTACTTATAATCAATAATAATTCAATATAATTGCTGATTGATTGACAATGCCACACAATATCTCAAATAAATGGTGTATCAATAACCACTCAAATAACTTACCAAGAACAGCGGTGGTGTAGCCTGCTTCTTTCAATAATTCTGCAAATGTTATCTCACTGGATGGCATACCACCAATAGCAGAGTTATAACCGAACATTGTGCCAGCTAATCGTGAAGCCAGACCTTAGTGGTAGAAGAAAATATTATTTAATACTGACTTTTCGTTTTGAATGATGTGTTAGTTTGAATCTGTGTTTCATGTTGTCTGTCTGTTTACGTGTACAATTTATTATTTCAACACAAATTGCAGTTATAAAGATTGAAATGTAACGAATGATTAAGTACGAAAACACATTCTTGTTTGATTTATTACTCACCCATGCGTATGGGATAACGTCCTGTCAGAAACGCAGCACGACTTGGTGTACAGGTAGGTGCTGGTACCATATTATGGTTCAACTTAACACCCTCTGCCGCCAATCTATCAATATTTGGTGTACGTATAGTGTCATTGCCAAAACAACCAACGTCACCAATACCAAGGTCGTCTACCATAATGATGACAAAATTGGGTTTATGTGTGACGTCATCAGCTGACACGAGTACCGAGAGGATAAGAACAAGTAATCCACTGACAATCATCTTCTGGTAAATTTTAAAAAATGAAAGAGGAGTATTTATTATACACTTATTCATTATTCATATTTATATTATTCAGAGGAGTATTCATTATTGTATATGATAACACATGTTTGTGAGGGTAATATCACGATTTGTTGCCTGCCCAAGGGATGGTATTCATGACCATAATATAGATGATGCCAGAGACGAAGGCGAGGGCATCATTAATATTATGGTCATGACTGTAGCGACGAGTGAGAGGCAATTGCTAGGCAACGGCGAGCATGTGCCCCTGGAGGTTTATACTCCTATGGGGCCTGTTGCAGGTCCCTCTGTGGATCCGTCCTCGCATGGCGCCAGGTTTGCCTACGAGATTTAGGCTTTGGTTGAGGACCTGTCGGACAAATTGCGTCCCTCACAAGTCGGGTATATCAAATGTAGGGGAGCAGGTTGCCTCCACTGCAGTTGCCCCTTGTTTTGGCAAGCTGGAAGAAGCACATCAGCAAATGATATTCGTGTGGGAGAGGGGAGCTGCTCGGCCATCAGTGGGGTATCTGATCACGGCGGGTGCAACCTTGGGCGGCCCCTCGGAGTCTGTTCTTCGTAACGACTCTGTGAGCCACGTCGTGGGGTGATGTGGGGAACAGTGGGAACGCTCAAACGGTGTTGATGGGCGGAAAATGGTGAGGAAATGTCATGCTTAACCTGTTCCACTGGACCAAGCACTACCCTATCAATGCAGTGTCTCATGCCCTGACCGGATTCCTCCCCCAACCTCGGTACCACGAATTTTTGGTTCAGTAGGACGGGCAAAGGGGGATGGCCACGTTCATGGAATATTTCGGCAGTTCAGTCGGAAACAATCCACGCCCTGAGAGCAGAGTGGCGAGTTGTGGCCAGCCCACTGGAATGCATTGTTTTGCGCCTCCAGCACACTGAAGTCTCAAAGGCGGAATGCACCAGCCTCCTAGACCAGCAGACACAACCATTGCTGGAACACCACACAGCTACGCGGGATATCCTGCAGTGTCATCTGGCTCTCGTGGCAGGGGCTGCCTCTGTACAGTAGGATGCGGTTTGGGTAGTTTTCACTGGGCGCTCCACCACCTCAGTTACGCAGACTGGACCTCCCCCACCCTCTTTCTTTTGAGGATGGAAGGAGCAGCCTCTGTGCTTAGGGATCCCAATGACCAGTTAGTACAGGTGAGACCCGCGAGCCAGTTTGGCTTCTGCCAAGGGACCCCAAAATGAGCTTTAATAGATGTGTATACTTAATTACGACTGCCCTGTATTTAACCATCTGGTTAGTTTTGTAACTCTCTTTATATAAAGGATGTACATTGACAATAAAGTTAGTCTGTATTGGTGATTGCTGCGTGCGTGTTTGTCGCTTTCTCTGGTCTGCAACCATGAAGCATTACATTGGCGACGAGGATTTGTGAACCTATTGTGCACAGAATTACTGTAATAGTCATGCTATGAACCAGAAAAGACCACACGATGAGACATTTTGCAATAGAAAGACCGTGCATAAAAAGTCATACTTGTCTCCCTAATTTGACTCTGAATATACCATCTGAATTTTATTATGGCAATGCAAGGCAGTTTCATGCTCGCTCAAATATCTCCCTTTGATGTCCACAGTGACCCTAGCACCCTTGCATCACGATGGAAAAGATGGATCTCTCGATCTGAAAATAGCTGTGTCGCGTGGAAAATTGAAGACCCAGTAAAAAAAGGGCTATGCTATTAGACAGGGGAGGAGAAGACATGTTTGAAGTCTCGGAAACACTGACTATGCCAACAAAACCAGAATATGATGACATTTACAAAAAGATTGTGAAAGCTTTAGAGGACTATTTCCACCCTAAGAAAAAATGAGATTTTTCAATTTCCACGAACATTTCAATATGCCCACAAAACAATTGATCAGTTTATTACACGTCTACGCAAACTTGTCAATAACTGTGGGATTGAAGACATGACAGCGAAGGAAGCTGAAATCAAACATTTATTAAGTTGAATGTGAATGATAATCCCCCTGAATTTATGTTAGACTCCGGTGCATCTTTTAATGTTTTAAACAGAAATGATTTCGGAATTATAAGTGAAACTGTAACCCTTGTGCCAACTAACAAAAATGTATTTACATATGGAAACCAACAGAAAGTAGATGTGCTAGGTACTGTTAACGATAATGGACTAACGTTGGCTCTACCTAAATGCAAGTTTTCAGTCCCAGAGATAGTATTTTTTGGCTTTGTGTTCGACAAAAACGGCATGCGTTGTGACAATAATCATATAAAATGTATTTGTGAGCTAAAACGACCAGAAAATGTTTCGGACGTCCGATTGTTTCTGGGAATGTTGGGTCTCCCATCCATGATGGTGCCACAATTTAGTACGTTGTCCGAACCAATTAGATCACTCGTGAAAATTGGGGTTCCATTTGTTTGGGGTAAAAGGCAAGAAGACTCGTTTATGGCCATTAAAAAGGCAATTTGTTCAGATATAATGCTTGGCTATTTTGATATAAATAAACAAACTACACTGACTGTTGGCGCAAGTCCGGTCGGCCTGGGTGCCATTTTGCGACAGGGAGATGCAATAATCAGCTGTGCGAGCACTTTCCGAAACGGAAAGCCGATACAGTTAGATTGAACGAGAAGCCTTGGCAATCGTTTGGGAAATGGAACATCACCGATTATATCTCGATGGTTCACCCGAATTTACCATTGAAACTGATCATAAACCATTAATTAGGATATTTGCTCGAAAGGAATTGCATAAAATGTCAAGTCAAATAGAAAGACGGGTGACCAAGGCCCAAAGATTTAGATTTAAACTAATCCATCATTCTGGAATAACTAATCCAAGCGATTATATATTGCGACACCCCCATTCTCTTAACCATCATAGTGGAAAAAGAACGACTGAACACGTTTCTTTCATTCGTAATCATGCCTTGTGCTGTAACGATGAAAGAAATTCAAATTGCGACTCAAAATGACAAAACTTTGATGTTTGTTATTCAATGTTTGCGGACCAATTGTTGGCATAAGGTACCACAAAATGTTAATAGAGAATTCGTGAAAATATTCAAACTAATTCAGGACGAATTGTGCTTTACGAACGGTGTGCTATTGCAGAAGGGCCACTGATCGTGATACCCGAATCAATTCAAAGTCAAATCATTTCTATTGCTCACGAGGGTCATTTGGGTGCCTCTAAAACCAAGGCATTGATGAGAGAAAAGGTTTGGTTTCCTGCAATGGATTCTTCGGTTGACAAAACCATATCAGATTGTTATGCCTGTCAGGTTAACATTGATATGAAAACAAAAGTACTATTGAAACCATCACAATTACATACAGTTTGGTCTCACGTCGCAACTGACATGTATGGCCCCTTGCCATCTGGCCAATATTTAGTTGTTGTAATGGTTGTATTTTGTAGGCAGTTCAAAATTGTTAATTATTCATTTGCATACTTTTCATTTGCATAAGCTTCGGTTGTTTGTTTCATTTCTCCACTGGGCATGATTCTTGTAGCCAATTCGCTTTGTTCTGTTTACATGCACTGTTTACATCGCACGCTGTTCGTGCCCAGTCATTTCTGTTCGGGTTATTTTCATTTTACTTTCTCGCTATGCCAAGAAGTAAGCGGCGCTCAACATGCTCTGGCTGCCAGCTCGATGTGGAAGCTCACACCTGGGGCAAGCACGGAAAATTCTGCACCGGTCCACCACCGGAGGAAGAGAATTGCCGTTCACCGAACAGCTCAACTGCCGTCCCTAAGTCGTCTCCTTTCACTTCAAAGCACCGACGTCACTCGCCCACAGTTTCACAGGATATTTTGACGAGTTTTCAGACGGGGATGAAGACGACCAAGCCGAGTTAGCTATTTTGCAGCACCGGAAACAATCCTTGTTGGCGAGAATCACTAAGCAAAAATTACAGGCGGAAATCTCTCAGCTAGAAATGGAATTCAAAAGTTGTTCCTTGAACACACATCCACCAACTACAGGCCTATCATCCACGCGCCAACAGGGCACATCGCCTTCTGATCACCAAATCTCTGACATTTCACTAGCAGATCTGCGCAAAATGACGAATCTCCGATCGCAGGTTGATCACGATTTGTCACCATACTTCAACGCCATTGGAGCGAACAAAGGACACAAGGCTGAGAACAAAGGACCAGCCGGTGAGTACATTATTCGCGAGAGTCTCGTTAATTCCCCAGGGCGTCACGCCGGGAAAAAGTTGCCTGGTTTGAAATCTCCAGAACAGTTTGTTCCATCATTCTTTTCTTCACATGAACTGAAATACGACGACTTATCACTCGAACAATTTCTACAGGGCTACACGCTCTTACTGCAGGACCCATCCATGCCCAAAGCAGAACAAAAGGGCCGGTTACGTCTCCTGCACGATTTGTTTGTTAAACTACCATTGTACAAATGGCCCATTGTCCGGAGCTATGCGGCAGTGGCTCGTTTAATCGATGTTAACAAACGTACATGGGACAGCGACTACTCAGACGTGAAAGAACTGTTTTTTGATTTCTCAGCCGGCAAGTTGAAATCAGTCACCCAGAAACGGACGACAAATAACGGCAACAGAAATACCTCCAACTCGGACGGCTCGCCCGTATTAGTGTGCACAGCTTTCAATGAGAAAGGTTCTTGCTCATTTGCTCATGCAAATTTAAACACATTTGCAATCATTGCTATGTTACTCGCAATCGTTTTAATAATCACAGCGAAAAGGACTGCAAACAGAAGTCAGGCACGTCCATGTCACCTCTGCACCGCGATAAACCAATCTCCTCGTGACTCCATGCGCAGCCCTCAGACACCAGGTTAACAACTTGTGACCTCCCCGTTAGATCAATGCCTATACACGTATCTCTGGACGATAGTGTTATCTCGCTCGATTTGGTTAGCAACAACATCACCGGGTCTGACCCAACACTTTCAGTCATCACACGTGTGTCAGGGGGCTCCACACCTACGCCACCAGCAGCTACATCACCGTTGTCACTTACGCACACGGCATTACCCAAGCTCAGCACCACAGTCTTCATCGATAATAACAAGTTCGAATCCCTCGCTATCGCCGGTCAGTCAACAACCACACTAACATCAAGCATGATCAAAGCGCCAACATCGCAGGCGGTCCTCAGCGACATCAACTTCGACCCCACACTTCATCACAACACAAGCAGGTCGAGGGCTACACACTCGTCATTGACATCATCATCAACAACAACTTCTCTATCATCAGCTGTTCATTCGCCATCGTCGCCAGTCCGATCTCTGTGCCGCCAGATCACATTATTTCTAACATTGACGGCAGTATTGCACAACATTACATTGATTTACATCGCAGAATCTCCACTTCAGGCCTTTATAACTTTCAAGGTTGTCGCATCCCGGTCTCTTCCGGTCTGAACATTCAGTCTTGGCGCCATCTTCTACGCAATTACAACAACGACATCTGCGACTTCTTAGAATTTGGTTTGCCCATCAACTACTCACGCGACTTTCTTCCTACTTTGCACGCAACGAATCACACCTCGGCTTTAAATTTCGCTGAGCACGTGGACAGTTTTCTGGAATCGGAGCTATCTTTCGGCGCATCCGTTGGGTCGTTCGACACTCCGCCATTGTCTCGCCCGCTCATTACCTCACCATTAATGACCGTGGCTAAGAAGGGCTCATCTTCCTGTCGCGTGGTTGTGGACTTAAGTTTTCCAGAAGGCTACTTGGTCAACGACGGCATCCCAGGGCACAGTTACATCGGGGATGATTACAAGCTCAGATATCCTACAGTTGACTCCACGTTAGATCGCATCCGTACACTTGGTTCCTGTTGCCTCCTTTACAAACGGGACCTCAGCAGGGCATACCGACAACTTCGCGTGGACCCGGGAGACTACCTTGGATTCTATTCTTGGAAAGGGAAATACTACTTTGACGTTTCACCACCTTTCGGGTTACGCACAGCGGCCTTAATGTGTCAACGTTCAACCAATGCAGTGCGTCACATCCTACGCAACCAAGGGCACGAGGTGATCAATTATATCGACGATTTTGGCGGAGCAGAGTCACCAATCAACGCGACTGTGGCTTTTGAGAGTCTAGGGAATCTGCTAAACGAGCTCGGCCTTCAAGAATCCGTGGCTAAAGCATGTGCTCCTGCTACTAGTATGACTTTTCTCGGTTCTGAATTTGACACAGACCATTGCTGTACTCGCCGCCAAACTCATTCAAATTCATGAAGAGCTATCCAACTGGGACAATCGCTCCTCTTGTTCCCGCACAGAATTACAAAGTCTCATCGGTCTCTTGTCCTATGTCTCGAATTGCGTTCGCCCGGGTCGCTTGTTTATTTCTTGCATGCTGTCCACGCTTCGCACATTCACTGCTAAACATTCCCGCACCCGTATCGATGCAGAGTTTCGCAAAGACCTCTTATGGTGGAAGACGTTTTTACAGGACTATAACGGCGTTTCTATCATACACACCCAACCTTGGTCCCCGCCAGACACTGTCGTGTGTACAGACGCATGCCTTTTAGGCTGCAGTGGCGTCTCAGTTACCCAGTTCTTCCGCTCTCCTTTCCCACAACACATCATCAACATGGGTTTGTCTATCAATGCATTGGAATTGCTTGCAGTCGTGGTCGTGGTCGCACTCAAGCTCTGGTCCCATACTTGGCGCGGGCTTCACTTGCAAATAACCTCGGACAACACTACAACATTTGCATTGATCAACTTTCATCGTACCCATTCAGATTTCGAACTCAGCTGTTTGCGGGAGATCACATACTTCCAAGCACGTTTCGAATTCAATCTCTGGGCTGTACACATCCCCGGTCGGAGCAATGTTGCGGACGCGCCAAGCCATTCACATATATCTGGCATTTACGAGTCTCGCGTGGAAGACTTACAGTCAAACTTTGGCATCTCAGAAGTCGTTGTACCTCAGGAAACGTTCCAGTTTATTCATCCTTGGTAACTTGTAGCATTTACTTTTTTCGCTTCTGCAGGTAGTCAAGCTCCGCTCGCCGCTCTGGACCACCAGGCGTCCCGCTCACTCCACTCAGCTTTTGCTTCCGGTTCATTGTGCAACATTACAACTCAATGGCATGCATTCTTCCTTTTCTGCCGTTTCTTTCGCATCCAGCCAGTTCCGGCCACAACACGAACAATTATTCGCTACACACAGTCCCTCGCCCGCTCGTTTTCATGCACAGCATCTATTCGCAACTACCTCGACGGTGTTCGGCTGCTGCATCTTTTCGTCACCGAGACCCCACCTTCACTCGACTCATTCGAACTGCGCCTTGTCCTCCGGGGAATACAGCGTATAACAGCACACCAGTCTCGCTGCATGTTGCCTATCACACCGAATATCCTTCTTCGAATTCATCGTCTCTTACGCTGTGGTTCGCTTTTCTCATCGCATTTTTTTCGTTCCTGCGTAAGTCCAACCTGGTGCCCCCTTCAGATACAGCTTTTGACGCCCGCATTCATCTCTCGCGGGGCAGCGTCGGATACAACACCGCAGGTTTGATCATTCGTATCACATGGTCCAAAACCATACAGTTCAGCGAACGGGTACTGCACATTCCCATCCTGGCTATCCCTGGCTCCGC